ATTTAAGTGGATTGCACTATATGAGCATTTTATATATCATGACTAAATGAAACTTTGCAAATTGCAAAGAATATTTATATGGCGATATATAGTAAAAAATGCCTATAATTTATTATTTCTATGTAAATTGCCAATTAAATATTTTTGTCTTTTTTGATATACTTACAAAAGATTAACAGTTATTTTCAGGTTCATATCGTATAACTGTTTTATAAAAGTAATGTCTGCAATAAAGTCGACAATAATGATTATAGGAGTAATGATAGCAAATTTATTGCCCTATAATAAAAGGATTTCATTAATAATTGAGGTGAGTACTGCAACGGGAAATCTTGTAATTCTTAATCTAATAAGAATTACAGGTTTCCTTTAGCAGTGCTTATATAATAAAATATAAAATTTTATATAATCTTACTTTTTTACGTTTTATATATGAATATAAAATAATTGCTGCAATCAAACAAAATAATATAGCAAAAAGTATTAACGGTAATTTTAATTGATCTAATAAACTAGCTAAAATTTGGTAAAAATAAAAAAAAAGTTAATATTCATGAATTAAATAATTTGCTATTATTAAAAATTATATATCAATCAAATACTTACCTTGTTCTTTAATTCCATATAATTCATCTAAAAATTTTGTGAAATTATTTTGATTTATTGGAGTAATATATTTATTTTTTATTAACACGTCCAAATCATTTAAAATACTTTCAGAACTTTTTTCTGATAAATTATAGGTTTTTAAAATGCTAATCTCAAATAATATTTGATATGTTCGTGCTGTATAATCAGTTTGGACCTTTTCATTAGTTCTTATAAGTCTACTTTGAGGGATTGGTATTGATTGAGCCAATTGATATAATAAGATGTCGAAAAAGTAGGTTTTATTTGTTTCATCAAGCATTTCATAATAAAGTGACCCTTCGTTAGTAAGTCTTAATAATCCTGTTTTTGTTTCTAAAATGGAATAAAATAAATATGTTAAAATGGTTGAATATAAAAAATCAAATATATAAAT